CATCACTGGCAACACGCACTCGTTGTACAATTTCGTTTAAAGGTTTTGAGGTATGTCTGACGAGAAGATGTGTCTTAACTAAAAATGAGAAGATATGAAGCTTCCCGAACGCTGCCCAGCCGAGTTGAATCCGTCGATTGACCTCTCGGTCGAAGTTGGACTTACCTAGTCGGACTATTTGTCCCAGGTAAACATACTCGTCAACAACTTCGAGCCTAGTGCTCCCAACAACTACCGGCATAGGTGTGACGTGGACATTAAACATGATCTTTGTTTTGTCCATGTTCATCTTAAGACCTATCCGTTGGGAAACACTATTGAGGTCATTGAGCATAGTGCTTAGGACCTCCAGCGATTCTGCCATAAGGACCATATCGTCGGCAAATCGAAGGTAATGAAGGAGGAAGGATGTACTCGCCATTGATGTTGATACCGTATCCTTTCCAGTCCAGAAGCTTGAAAACGTCTTCCAATGTAGCGGTGAAGAGTTTCGGGGATATGACGTCACCCTGTCTTACACCTCTCTGCAATTGGATAGGTTTCGTACTCTGGTTCTGTACTCTGATAGCCATCGTAGCCCTACTGTACAAGCACTGCAACACTTCGATATACCGACAGTCAACCTGGCACCGCTGAAGGGACTGCAGCTTCGCCCAAATTTTGACGGAATCAAAGGCTTTCTCATAGTCCACATACGCCAGACATAGTGGCAAATTGTACTCTTCGGACTTCTATACAACTTGCCGAAGGGTATGTATGTGGTCTATGGTGCTAAAGCCCTTTCGGAAACCGGCTTGTTCGGGAGGCTGGAAGTCGTCAAGTCTGCGAGCGAGACGATTCGTAATGACTCTCGAAAACAGCACGTAGATGCGGCTCAGAAGGGAAATCGGTCTGTAGTTCTTCAAGAGAGCGTTGTCACCTTTCTTGAAGAACAAGACCACCGCACTTCTGCTCCACGCCTCCGGTGTAATACCACCATTGAGGACGGAATTATAGAGCTTCTGAAGGACTTCAAGTACCGGTCTTCCACCCGCTTTCAGAAAGATGTGTCGGATGAGACTTGCACTTGGATCGTTACTCACACTTGCGTGTGGCTCCAACGATGACGTGTACAGCTGCCCATAGAACCTCTCAATCTCACTCAAAATCTCAGGTGTCCCGGAAATGATGCTGCCACATTCCGTCTTCAGCTTTGACAGTTGGCTCTTTCTGGCAGACAGATCTCTGGCAAAGACTTTGGAGCCTTGGTTCCGCTCTATCGCTTCTTCAAAACGAGCTGTATTGAAGTTGCGTAAGTCCCGCCGCATGCATTTGGAGATCTTTCTGTTCAGATGCCTGTATGCTGTAAAGTCTGTTGAAGAATGTAGCTTCATCTCCTGTCTAACAGCCATGAGATTAAGAGTGTGATCGGAGAGTTTTTGTGTTCTTCTGCGGCGGGTCTTGCAAAACTTAGCTCCGACCGCATGGACAGTTTCCACGAGCTTGTCATTCATATCGTCCACTTCATTGCAGTCTTCTAGGCATTGAAAACGGTTTTGTAACTCGAGCTGAAAGGTTTCGGGACTTTGGAACAGAGCACGAGGGGGACGGAGCGTTGACGTCATTAGAGGAGACCTCTCCAACTTAACATTTAGGTTCAGTGTGCCTCTAACCATTCGGTGATCGCTACCAGTTTTCACCCTCGCGATCACGGAGACATCACTGAACAGTTGTCGTCTGGTCGTCATAATGAAGTCAATCTCATTTTTTGTTTATGAAATATCGCTGCATTAATTTGAAAATGACACGTCTTGAAAATATACTATGCATGCAGTTTAAATAAAACGTAATAATAAATTACATTTAATATATTCCGTGCACATTATAACGAAGGGGAAAATTTCTTTCAAGTCGCTATAAGTATCTACTCGATTCACTGCTTTCTTCTATTGGATATTTCTGCGATATTTCATATTAACGCGCTTTTATTTAGTGATAAAATAAATAAGTGCTCTTGTTGTTGTATCATTTTAAATTAAGCAAAGCAAAAGGGTATGACGATACTTCTTTTGACGTTTGGATTCTGCGAACATTATAATGAGCAATATAAAATTTTATAAAAGGTTACTAAGCAATATATATAACGGTTAGGTTGGTAGTCACTCCATCTACTAGATGGAGTGACGACGAAATCAAGTGAAGATCTGAATCTGAAAGGAAGTCGATGAATGCAGGTAGATAATGGCTGTGGCCGTTCTTTCTGGCTATTCTTTGGGGAAGGCTTTGTGCAGCTGAGGACTTGTGAAGAGCAGTAATAATTTTCATAATATTGGGTTCTAATCAAGAATTTGCTGCGGCCTGTTTAATTTCCCTTTGACATTACTGTCTGTTCTTATAGTGCCAGAAACTCTTAACATTTACATTATTTACTGCCTAAATGTATTAACTTACCGCTAATACATTTCGTAAGACCAATTCAATTTATTTTATGAGTTTTTATTGCATATTAGCTATATCTATTTTAAAAAAGGTATTTGTATTATGTTGCCGTGTGGTGGCGGTGTAAGGAGAAGTCACCACCCCATTTCGTCACTGGATGTTGAAAGAAGAGGCTATGGGAAATGCCATAAAAATCGTATGGCATTGAAATATATTTTTTTTAATTTCTCAAAGATGCCTATATTATAGCAGCACCTAAAATTTACAATTAATAATTTTATTTGCACTGTACGAGAATCAATTACTGTATTGTTTGCGCGATGTTAAATTTATGATGTGCTCTTAGTCTCTGAGCTAACAAGACTCAATAATAATATTGTCAATAATAAACCAACAATAAACACAATACGTAGATGTATTATTTATAATTATAATTTTAATAATGCATACATTGTTGGAAAATTATGAAGATTGCGTTAATTTTGTTGTTCATACGTAGTAGAGTCATGCTGCAGCTATATTATGGTTGTGGCACGAATGGGTCGGCTCGACCGGGGAAGGACCACGCTCTCACAGAATACCAACGTGAAATAGCAGCTTAACGCCGCTGTGTTTCGTACGGTGAGTGTAGAGAACCGGAGACCCTTTTTCTGGAAACGAGGCATTCCATCTTTCCTTACGGGTGACAATGCATCTGCATTTTGATTCGTAATCGAACATAGATGTAGATGTCTATGGGTCACAGCAACCACTTACCATCAGGTGGACTGTGTGCACGTCTGTCACCCTTATCCTATAAAAAAAATGACAAAATGTAGAAATTACCGAAAGAATCAAATTTAAAAAATCTGCCCGCGTGTTAAGTTTTTCTGAACAATCCTTTATAGTAAAATGTAGGTAGGAAGTAACAATTGTAAGAAAACGATATTTAAAAAATAGCAGAGCTAATGTACGTATAATAAAACTTTTAAATATGCTCTATTTTTAATAAGTCTTAAGAGCAACTGCTGAAAATGTTCATGTTAATATTCAAGTTGTGATTTTTATTTTTATTTTAGTACAGTTGCGATGGTGTGTCGAACGCAGGGATGGCAGCTTCAAAGTTATGTGCATTTTCTCTTATTTTTTGTCCATTTTGATTAAATATAAAAACATAATCGTAAGCAGCTCCATGGATTATAAATTGGCTTGGCATTACTTGAGCGAGGACTATTTTCAGCAATGTACTTTTGAAAAGATAAATGATCATGATGATGATGATGGATAAATGCATTGGCTTCAGCTGGAATCGTTTCGTTATTAAAGATACAATTGTTTCCGTAACTTTTTTTGGCAAATCAATATATAAATCTCAGAAAACATTTTATATTTTCTTTCGTGAAGTAAATAAAAAATATGCCGTGCCTTATCTACAGTCGACGCGTAAAAATTCAAGCTGACTATAAAGCTGACTTTCAAATAATATAATCAATGTCCAAGTACTTATTTTAATGTGTGTAAAGGTGGTGGTTACGGGGTGGAAAAAACGAAACTAATGTATTATGGAACTCGGGCCCTTCAAGTTAATGACGTAGAAATAGCTGACAACGGCTTTGATCATTCGGAAAACGGCAAAAGTTTTTCCGATACGTTGGATACTTACTTCTCGGCGATAGACACAAATGAAACATTGTGATAGAGGAAAAAAGTTAACAGATTTTCCAACGATGATATTATATTTTCAGTGTATTTTTGAGTAAAATATATAAATAGGGTGAAGTCACCAATTATCAGCACTTTAAGAAAATGTTCATTTTCAAATAGTGGAAATAAGTAAAAAAAAAGAAAAATATTTCAACATGAGATAGGTATTTGGTTTACCAGTGAATAAATATTTTAGAGAAGCCATTTTGTCTTCGAATTTCATACACTTATTTCATTCTATGGTGCTTTAATCAAAATAACGCCTATTCCCCAATTGATAGCAGTACAATTACCAATTATTAGCACCCATTGACCTATTTATTGGCATAGTTTTTTAAATCGTAAAAACACTTAAAATAAATAAATAAAATAGGAGATACTTGGAATTATTTCATAAACACACATTTTAATTCAGTAGAAAAATCATTTATTTGCAAAAGTAAAAGCTCTATTACACTATATGTAGTTTTCTTTCTTATATCATAAGCCATAACTATTCATCTGCGAGTATCTTTTCTAGCTCTTCTATTGTGTACGATTTCTTTTTATTTTCAATAATGTTATCAAGAAAATGTCTTTCAGTTTCAGCTTCACTTTGCCACTACTTCAAATTTATTATTATCTTCTTTAATTTCAATGTTTTTCTCTAAAGCAGGGGTTCCCAAAGTATTTTTCTACACGCCACCCTGCTGCCTAAAATAGAAATGCCCACGCCCCCCTTCACTTCGATGCAAGGAAGAGGAAATCAATGGGCTAGCTAAGTATCCCAATGCCTCGGGAAAAGGCTAGTTTTAAAGTAAAAGGATAATGAATTATAAACAGGGGTAAAAAACCATAATCAAATATTTTTATTAATATTGTTGTGACAAGAAAAACAAAGAAATACATAATCGTCACGGTCAGTGAGATGGATGGGCTTGCATATTTTTAACAATGTTTTCAATTCTGGGTTGAATAGAAGAAAGAGTACAACGTAGATCACTAGTGATATCGAGTTTGTTTCTGTATTTGGTTTTTATGACCACTACTGCTGAAAGTGCCTTTTCGCATAAATAAGTACTCGAAAATGGTAAAAACAGTTTCAGTGATTCTTCTGCTATATTGGGATAAACTTTGAGATATTTTACCCAAAATAATGGCTTATCCATCTTCTCAAAATCATATTTGGCAGCTGAATCATTTTTTATTTCTAAAGCTTGTTCTTAAAGTAGGTCTGGCAGCACGTCTATGTCTATGTGAAAAGGATCCGTCGCCAATCGATAAATATTGTCATCACACAAGTTTGGGAAGTAGCGCTTGAATTCATCACTGAGGTGCTGCAAGTGGTTGGATATTTCGGTCTTAGTGTCGGTTTCGCAAAAAAACTCCATAAAACATTTGTTCTCTGTGATTGCATATAATTTAGGAAAGCACGAATAATTGTCTGCTAAAATCTTACGTTTCCACAATAGCAACTTCTCAGTAAACGCTGTGATAGCATCTCGGTGATTAATTATATTTGAATCTCCTCCTTGCAGTTTTATGTTTAATGAGTTTAATGAATCGAACATATCCGTTAAATAAGCAAATACCACTTGAACTTTTGGCTTTCTGAATTCTACAAATAATTCACTTTGTTTTTGATTATCCAAGAACTGAATAACTTCATCTCGAAGCTCATATAACCTAGTCAGCATATTTCCTTTTGAGAGCCAGCGCACCTCAGTATGAAATAACAGAGTCTTATGTTCTGTACCCAAATCTTCACAAAGAGCCGTAAAAAGTCTAGTATTCAAAGCACTCTTTTTAACATAATTGACAATTTTTATGCATAATGTTAAAATAGCGTTGAATTCATTTGAAAGTGTCTTGGCCGCCAGGGCTTGACGGTGTATGAAATAGTGAATTGCAATAACATTAGGATCTTTTTCTCTCACCAATTGTACGAAACCTGAGCGAGACCCAAGCATTGTCGGTGCACCGTCTGTGCAAACACCCATTAACTTTTGCCACGACAGTTCGTGTTTCGCAAAAAAATCAGAAACTGCTGTCATTATATCAGTTGCTTTTGTGGTAGTCGTTAATTCTGTAGAAAACAACAATTCGTCTTTTATTGTTTCGTTTTGCATGTATCGAACGAAAACTAAAAGTTGACAACATTGTGCTATATCGGTACTCTCATCCAACTGTATTGCATAAAATGTTGATTCTTTCACGGCCTCTACTACTTGTTTTTTTATATCTTCAGCCATATCATCAATGCAACGTTTGACAGTATTGTCAGAGAGGGGTATCTGCGAAAATTTTTGTTTAATTTCTGGTCCCAGAATGATATCAGCTGCTTTTAACAAGCAAGGTTTAATAAGTGATTCTCCGATAGTATGACTTTTCTTTGCCTTTGCGATGATAAGCGATAGTTCATAAGAAGCTTGAAGCACTTTCTCGGACGATTTCGCAAAAGATCCAGTACTATCCAATTTCATACGTTTCAAGCTCTTGATGCAAAAAACTCCTTCGGCTTGTCCTTTAAACTGCTATGTTTTGTTGACAAATGTCGTTTCAGACGAGAGGGTCTCGTGGCGTCATTGCTCAATACCTCATAGCAAATAACACACTGCGGATGATCGATATCACCTTTTTCTATAACAACAAAACCGTATTTAATATAATCATCATTATATTTACGTTTTTTGGACGAACTCATGACGAAACAAAAGGTATAAACTTAACTTTATTTTTGCGACAAAAAAACACGTGTAATGTTTACAAGGCGAACAGTACTGACCGACTGGCGGGGGTGGTGGTATGCGTTTGTCCCGCGGCTCTGCGCCCCCCTTTACATGTTGTCACGCCCCACTAGGGGGGTGCGCCCCCCAGTTTGAAAAGCAATGCTCTAAAGGAATATTAATGGTAACATCAGATAAAATAGTTATTTGTTTTTCTGGTGGAAATTTGCTCTTCTCTTCTTTGATACTATTTTCGTTTTTGCTGTTTTTCGCTTTTACTGAAGTTTTTACCTCACGTTTATTTTTTTTCTTGTTTTCTTCTTGTTTTTGTATTTTATCTTGCTTTCTTTTTTTTGTCTGTTCTTCTTTTAGTTTCTTTTCATTGCATTTCTCAAACTCTTTTTTAAACCACTCATTAGATGTTAAGACAAAAGATGGCCTTTGTATATTTCTGACAACTTTCCTTTGAGGCGTTTTTTGCTTCGGCAGAACATCTTGTATTTTAATAGGAGTTGGTTCGATAATATTTCCCTTCAGTTGAGGTACTCTCAAGTAATCAATTACTTGACTAAAACATAATATTTCAGACTCGTTTTCAATCAAAATGTTTTCTTCATTAATAGAGACTGGTCATTTCTTCTTGGGAACTGGGAACTTTAACATGATCATTCATATCATCAATGAACTCTATAGGCAGATTTCGTATGTCTATGTTTTCTGGAAGGCATTCCATGGTGTTTTGTGTTGCTTTTTCTGACTGCTTGAGATCGTAACTTGTGTCGCTGCTAAAATACATGCAGATTTGTTTTAAAATTTTATCAGCGCCAAATAAGCTCTCCTCTGAAGTAGCAAGCAATGATGTTTTTTTACCGTCACCGATCAAATTAAAAATTGTTTCAGCAGTCAGCACCTTTTGTGAAACATGATCTTTGCTTGATGCTGGAGTTTCACCCAAACATTTTTTGAAATCTATTGCATTCTAATTCCACGGACATAAACCCGTTACTCTGAAGCCGTTTACGATAGTTGAACTTTTTATACCTGTCGAAAAAATAAACAGCAATATATATCAAGTAAGTACTTACAGAACATGTTTAACTAAACTAATATATTGAAGTAAACATATTTTTATTCAATGCTTCTTTTAATACTGGAACAAAGTGGTTTTTTGTGAAGGTTTCCAGTGGATTATCTCTTCTCCAGCGAAGGACACTCTCTTTCCAAGCTACCTTTAAGGTCGGAAAGCAGCAACGTCTGCTGGTTGCAGAAGTCTCGTTGCATTTGGATAAAGTGCAATCAGTATTATGTCGAAGCTTCTGCAAAGTTCACTTATCTCTATTGGTGAGTCTTGTGTCCATCTACAAATAATATAACAGGTAAATTTCTCTTTTTTTTTCAAGTAAGGGTGGAAAACGTTTTTTATATAATCATAAAAAAAGCTCTGCTTTCATCCATTCAGTCTCGCTAAATCCAATTCCCCAGTCCCCTGGAACTTTAGGAAGTTAACTCCTTCGGTAGCCTTTTATTTGGAAAGACTACTAAGGGTGGTGTGACATCACCATTGGCCCCGAATGTAAAACGTTACGTTACGTTAACGATGATTATGTCTTCCAGATTTCTTTACAAAGTTTGCGACACTAAGTTGAAGGTCAATTCTTCTCTTTGGAAAGCCTTTTCTACAGCATTCGTTTACCCACTTTACAAGTATATCTTCCTCATCTGAAGTTAAAACAGGACTTGGGCCGCAGGTCTTTTAGATCATTTCTCAATCTTGATTGGATTGTCCCTCTCGGAACATTGAAAGTTTTAGATGCAAGTTTTTTTGACATGCCATTTTTTACAGCTTATAGGGCTTGTATTAAGTTTTCCTTTCCATATTTTTTTCTTTTTGTAAATTCTTTCTTCATCTCCTCTTGTTTCTTTGTTTTCATTTTAATTGTGTACTAAAACAGAAAAATCCAATTAACGGCATAGACAGTCGCTAATTATCAGCACTATGCTGATAATTAGCAATACTCGTATCAGCACCATGCTAATATTTGGAAAACGGTATTTAATAAATAAATAAATGGACGGAAATCAGTTAACAGCAATCATAGAGCATAAAATCAAATAAAAATATAATATTTTTTTCCTACTTATCAAACCCAATTATCCGCATGGGTGCTGATAATAGGAAAAACCTACAAAATAGGAACCATATGGTAGCACCCGACTTTTTTTGATTAATCGACAACTTAACCTAAAAATATATTTAAATTTATGTAGACAAATCACTCTCGAAATCCTCGAAACCAAAATAACACAAATATAATAAAACCTTTTCATGGTTTAAGAAGATAATAAATCACAAGAACTTACCGTCACCCAAACAAAATGGCCGAAATTTTCTACCTTACACACACCGGTAACTACTTATTTATTGCAATCGTCACGCCATCTTATTTTTTTAAATGTTGCTAGCTTACATAATAATTTGATAAATTTAAATCCGATTTTTTTTCACGTGGCAATTTAAATTCAACGACAACTCTTATAATTCGTATTTTTTTTGTGTAGTGCTGATAATTGGTGCAGTGCTACGAATTAGATACTTTACCTCTATTGTGGTTGCTCTATTGTGATTATTTTCTGGAAATTATTAATGAACAGCATTATATTTGTTGGACAGCTAGATATAAAAAACAGCATAGCACTAACTGCAATGCATTATTGCTTGGAAAATATTCTAATATCACCAAGTCGAGTTAAATATCGCAAAGGATACCATTGCGCTGATAAATTAAATAAGGTATAATAAGAGATTGGAGCTTGCGTATTTGAAGAGATAATACTGGCATTATATTCTTCTACACTAGAATTGATTTCGTTCTGTGTTCTGAATGAATTCTTCGAATAAGCGCATTGTGTAAATACATTATCATCATCATCATCATTACAGCCTTTCCACCAAGTCCACTGCTGAACATAGGCCTCCGCCGAGGAAAGCCAAAAAGCACGGTCCTGAGCCAGGTGGCTGCAGGAAGTTGACAGATGCAGGTGCATCTGTCAACTTCCTGCATGTCATCACTTACCAAGTCATCACTCCGTGTAGTGGAGGGACGCCCTACACTCGGCTTACCGGTACGAGGCTGCCACTCGAGAACCTTTTTTCCCCAGAGAACCTTCTTTCCCCATCGGTTGTCAGTTCTTCGAGCTATATCTATATGGCCAGCCACTCCAGTTTACCAATATTTACGAAAAACAAAATTGCTTAGTAATTTCCTTAAATATACTTGTTTTTCCTGTGGTTTTCATTTTTAAGGAGATTAACTGACAGTGAAGAGATGTTTTATACAAAAAAAATAAAACTGTTGTAGAACAGCAAATGGCGATGTTTTCTTAAAGATTGTTTTTTATATTATTTTTAAATTCAATTGTATGAAAACATGAAACAAAGAGCTATTTTCAAAGAACAAAAAAAATACTTACATTTTTTTTCAAACCAAAGAGCACACGATTCCGTTACTGATGTTTCAATTTTGTCACACTACAGAACTTTATAAACTACGTGGAATGAATAAATGAAAAACGAAACTGAGGAAAACTAATCTTGAACCCTGGCAAGTACAAATGAATTTTGAACAAAATTGTTATTCAAGGGCACGTTAGCCTGGATAATAGTACTAGTAGTGTAGGAGAAAATCCTAGTGCGGAGGTAACATTTTTATTTTAAAAAGCAAGAAAAGAAAATAAATGCAAGTACAGATATTAAAGACGTGTCCTAAACTAAACGTATAATGTGAGCTTACTTGGGTGAAAGTTTTCAATTTTTTGTATGGAGTTAAGTAACTTATAAGAGTAAAATAAAATCCCTTTCGTCGTGGTAGAGTCATGCTGCAGCTATACAGTTTTAGCACGAATCGGTAGGCTCGACCGAAGAAGCACCACGCTCTCACAGAATAACAGCGTAAAATTGCAGCTTAACGCTGTTGTGTTTCGTGTAGTGAGTGTAGAGAATCGGAAACTCTTTTTAGTGGAAACGAGACCCTTTTTATTGGAAACGAGGCATTCTATCTTAGTCATCACGGGAGATAATGCATCTGCATTTTGATGATAGATGTAGATGTATATGGGCCACAGCAACAACTTACCATCACGTGGACTGTGTGCTCGTTTGTCACCCTTATCCTATAAGAAAACAACTTCCATGCATCCCACCGCTGAGCACAGGATTACTTTCGTTACTACCGGTTTTAGAGCAGGAAACAGTTTACCGCACTCGCGAAATGTGTGTTGGTGGACTTTACATATTCCCTTAGGTGTAAAACACGCATTATGGAATATTTTTTGTATGAAACATGTACGTATTTTCACAATATTTTCATCAACCATCAATTATTTAGTCAGTAATCATAATTGTTATTGACAAATTTACTATTGCCAATGGGGAATTTTAAGCTTAGGGCTGCCAGTTTCTCATATATTTATGATATATAATCATAATATGATTGTGAGTGACGGGAACCGGAAACCCTTTTAACTGGTAACGAAGCACTCCACCTTAATTCTCATGGTGACAAAGCATCTACATTTTGTTTCTAAATTTAGATGTATGTAGGTATCTATGGGATACGGCATCCAGTTACAATCAGGTTGACTATGTTCTCATTTGCTCCTTGTGTCCCTCTTAAATCTATATGCAAAACATGATATATTTTCATTTTTTTTATTTATACCTATATTAATACTTTCACTGTCCGGTTTCCAGACACAAT